TGATTTATTGGTACATGACATATCACTATGTAATGTTAATCACGATTTAGAGGGGCGAGCGCGTCCCCATAATGCAATACGGCCTCAACGTCATTGTAAATGTACGCCATCTCTAACTGAACATTCTGCACCCGCCCGGAATGTATTCATCAGCCATCAGTAATACAAATTCGTATTAACACATTAACATTCCCCCTGTATCGCGCGTGCATTTTTTAAATATAACACCATTATCAGCAGATTTTTTTAGCTAAAAATTTTGATATTTAACAAAAATATGGAATCTTACACTATAATTAAACAACAAATTTTCTATGCTAATACACTGAAAAGTTCATAAAAGTCAGCCCCAAAATGAAAAAAAAATGGGTTATTGTAAATGTTTCAAACACTTGCCGTTGAGGGCGGCATTAATACACATGTGCCGTGCATGAACTATCTTTGGTCACGCGTAATATTTCATATCTGACTAGGTTTATATTTTGTACATACACAATACGTCGACTAATATACTTTGTGTTTAAGTTCATAGTGTAAACCACGTGACTCTATTACTCAGTTTACCATTATTCATCATATTGGCTGAATTTACCCCAAATGATATGATTCGCGTGCAACACTCATTTTTGTAAACAAGTTGTTGTTTGACGACTGTATAGACATGAATTCAACACCTGAAGATGACAATCAACTAAATTGATGGGTCTTACGAAATATAACAGTGTGAAATCAGTAATAGAGTGTTAGGTATTTTATGTCCGTCACGGTGACTTCAGGAATATTGACCCACTTCTTGTTGCTACCAAATAATATGTTTATCATCTCAGCTACTACGCAAATATATGCCGTTGATTACTACGCAAATCGATGTCGTGTCGGTAATTACAAAACAAAATCAGCCTTCCAAAAGACATGCAATCTACGACTTGAAACGCAGTAAACTGACCACAAATTAAAGCGGGGGGGGGGGGGGCGTCATTCATGTTAGCATGCAACGAGTATCACATGACATGTGCGGAAACTATGCTTAGTTATATTCACTCAAACAATCCCTACCCGGTTACAAGAAAGACACGATACATAACAACATTAGCAGGGTTAAAACATTACATAGATGGCAGCGGTGAAGATACAGACTGGTGAAGAAAATAATAGAGCAAGATATTTTTTTAATAATAATAGACAAACCCTAAATGACAAACTCAGAAATATATACTTGAAATCCACGGGACAAAATTATATCGAGGCTAACTATTGACATTCACATGTAGTGGTGCCATTAAACCCGGATGACACTGAAATCTAGTAGACGAGCGTGGCGAAGATACGTTTATTATGAACCAACATAAAAATATTCATAAAAAACAGATGTTTCCAGTTTTTCTATCAGAAATTCAATCGCCAATCGTACCTCAACAATACACTGGAATGTTTTTTTTTTCTGGGGTCTATCTACACGTTGGAACTGCTTGCCCTCGTTGGATGTTGTGCTACAGCTCTCAATATGCCGAGTTGGTGATGCACGTTCTGTTAGTCAAAATGACCGACTGGCGGCCGTTACCGATGCACATCGTGATAGACTGGAGGCCATTTTGTTTCTATCATGAATTTGTTTACGCGTATCTGTTGACCGACTTAATTAGTTGATTATTAGCCGAATTGCTGTGTTATGTCTGTCATCGTTCAGGCCTATTAGAAGTTTTGGACGGAACTTGGCTCAGTGATTTGGACCTAATTACGAAATAGTCGTCGCCATTCTGACAGTTTATATTCATAGTTATTAATGTAGTGAACGATTAATCAAAAGATATGACGTATTCAGTACTTAGTGTGATTGGCTTTATGATTGAAGGTTACGCCCTAGAGTCTTTTACTGTTTTGTAATTGGTTAGAGTTTTGAAAATGAATAAAGAGAGTTTGAGTTGGTCTTGGCGAATACTCCACGACAGACGCAGACGAGAGTCCAGTCCAGGGGCGAGCCTTGAGGCAGTCCAGTCCAGGGGCGAGCCTTGAGGCAGTCCAGTCCAGGGGCGAGTCTTGGTTCAGCCTTGTGAGAGTGTTGGGGACTTTTCCCCAGGGCGCTGTGTTTTATAGAGTGCTCCAAAAGATCGACTTGGACGAGAGCTGAAACGTATTTCGTTGTGTGTGCCTTA